TTATTTTATTTTATTTTATTTTATTTTATTTTATTTTATTTTATTTTTTTATTTTATTTTATTTTATTTTATTTTATTTTATTTTATTTAATTTTATTTTATTTTTGCTCCTGTAACAAAACATCTGAGAAAACAGCTTCAGAGAGGAAAGATTTGGCTCACACATTCAGAGTGTTCAGTCCAAGAAGATAGCGAGTTTGAGGACAGCCTGGGCTAGAGGATCCTATCTTCAATAAAGGAAGCAACAGGAGAAGAAGAGAGGAGAGAGGGGGAAGGGAGGGAGAGCGAAGGAGAGACACATAAACAGTTGGACAGGCAGACTTAGGAAGGAGGGACCCTTGGTGTTCTCACTCCTTGGAGAGGGGTCAAGGGAGGACCCCACTGGCCTGCAGCTCTCCATCTGGGGTGCAGTGAGCAGCTCTCAAGAGAAGAGTCCTCCCTCCCCTGCAGCCCTGGCTCCCCCTTGCTTTCTAAGATTGGCTTTCCTAGAAGTCAGGAGCTGAGCCCTGTGTAGGCTGCTGAGGACTTGTCAAACCTGTTTGTGTCCCGAACAAGACAGAGCCAAAGTTACAGGGAGTGGGAGCCTCAGGCGATCTCTGACACCCTTCCTTGTGATTCTGACAGGTAGGCCTGCCATCTTGCAAGGGCTCTGGCTCACTGGGGACACTGGGCAGCCAATGCAGAGGTCAAAAGGGATTCTGCGGGTTAAAGAGCAGGTTCATGTAGGAAGGGTACCTTCCTCACTCTTTGTTCTTCTTATCCGCTTCTGAGCCTGAGTGCAGTGGCGATCAGTAAAACCAGTGAAACTGCATTGAGTTCTTGGGGCAAGGCTCAGTGGAGAGCCCCTGCCTAGAATCCCCAATGAGGGGCTGGGTGTGGCTCAGTGGAGAGCCCCTGCCTAGAATCCCCCAGTGAGGGGCTGGGTGTGGCTCAGTGGTCACCTGCCTAGAATCCCCAGTGAGGGGCTGGGGTGTGGCTCAGTGGTAGAGTCCCTGCCTAGAATCCCCAGTGAGGGGCTGGGTGTGGCTCAGTGGTAGAGCCCCTGCCTAGAATCCCCCAGTGAGGGGCTGGGTGTGGCTCAGTGGTCACCTGCCTAGAGTCCCCCAGTGAGGGGCTGGGGTGTGACTCAGTGGTGGAGCCCCTGCCTAGAATCCCCCAGTGAGGGGCTGGGTGTGGCTCAGTGGTCACCTGTTTAGAATCCCCCAGTGAGGGGCTGGGTGTGGCTCAGTGGTCACCTGCCTAGAATCCCTCAGTGAGGGGCTGGGTGTGGCTCAGTGGTGGAGCCCCTGCCTAGAATCCCCCAGTGAGGGGCTGGGTGTGGCTCAGTGGTAAGAGCCCCTGCCTAGAATCCCCCAATGAGAGGATGGGGTGTGGCTCAGTGGTAGAGCCCCTGCCTTGTATGCTTGAAGCCCTGGGTTCAATCCTCAGTTTTGCAAAACAATAACAACGGTTTAAGAACGTCTCTTCCTACTGTCCCTCCCGCTTCCTCTGGACACAGAGCCTCTGCTGATGCCCCCTCCTCTGTGTGGAACACTCTCCCATGCTATTCCAACCTGCCTATGTGGTCTCAGCTCAGTGACACGTGATTAAAGTCTCAGACAGCGATAGCCCAAGGTCCTTTCAGAACACCAGATACTTAAAAATATGTATCACCTGTGTGTGTGTACGTGTGTGTGTGTGTGTGTGTGTGTGTGTGCGCGCGTGCGTGCACATGCACGCGTACACGCATGTGGAGGTTAGAGGACAATTTTTTTTTCTTCTCCTTCCCTGGGATAGAACAAGTTGTCGGGCTCCTCAGTGAGCTACTGGCCCAGTGAGCTTTGGGTGGGGCTCTGCTCTCTGGCCTCTAGACTCCCCCTGTAGGCCTAGTGTAGGGCAGCCTCAGGTCTCCCCGACTCCAGGATGCACAGAGACCCAGCCTGAGGGCCCGTGACAGCTGCTCTACTGCTCTGTCCCCACGTGGCCAAAGCTGGCCCTGCGTCCCTGTCCAGAGTCTTCCTGATGCTTCAGCAAGCCTACCTGCAGGTCCAGCCTTCACTGGCCCCTCGGTAGAACGTACTCAGGGGTCCCTCAGCCCCTTAGGGACCGGTGTAGCTCAGGGAGAAGCAAAGCCAAGACCAAGGCCATTGTTCTGTTTTTCTTATAAACTGGCTAAACTGGATCTCCTAGATTGTTTGGTGAACCCTGGCCAGATCTGGTAAGTGACGGGTGCAACCCTGGACAGGCCTCTGGGCCCCCAGAGAGCTGGGGCAAGGGGTTGGCCCTGCCCTGGGCCTCAGCCCGCTCCGCCAACCAGCTGTATCTCATTGGGGATAATTAGCCCAGCCAGACGCCTGGCTCTAGGCCTCTCATTTTCCACTCAGGATCCATCTGCTGGGGGCCTTCGGACAGTGGTCCCAAATATAAATCAAGAGGGGGTCACAGTTAAGAGAACGGGGACATTCTTTCCACCCGTGTGGCTGGCTAAATTGCCTCAGAGAGCAGATTCTGTCCTGGCACCCCCTCAAGAATGGCCAAGGCCTTTGAAGGCCTTTCCAGGATGGACCCCAGGGGTCCGAAGCTGGCTGAGCAAGCAGGAATCTCTCGGGGAGCCTCTGCCGACCACAGGAGGGTGGGGCCTCTGAGGACAGACCTTGCCTGACACAGGCACCACCATTATGGGGTTGCCATAGCAACTGTGGAGGACACTGTATCTCTCTGTATTGTGATGGTTCAGGAGATGGAACCCAGAGCCCCTACAAGCTAGGCGATAAGTGCCCTGTCATTGAGGCACTAGCCCCTCACTGGGGGTCCTAGGCCAGTGGCTTACCATTGAGCCACACCCAGCCTTCGCTGGGCACCCAGGAATTCTACCACCGCCTTCCCCTCTTTATTTATGTTTTCTGCACCTAGGCTGCGTGATGAGGACCCATCTCAAAACAAACAAGTTCAACAACCAAGTGAATATAGGGCTAAGAGCAGATCTAGTCGTAGAACAGGTGTCAAGACATGGCTCACCGTTCCAAAAGAAAGAAATGGAAACAACACAAGTGTATGTTCACAGGTTGATGTTAGGAAATAAAAAACAGATGGCTGTCTATTTAGTGCGAATTTATTTTTAAGTCAAGAAAGTTACTGACCTAGGCCCTCTGTAGATAAGCCACAGTCGTGGCTGGTTCTTCACATGCAGCTCCTAACAGCAGGAGCAGGGCCTCTCTGGGTCCCCTCCTCCCATTCGGCTGCCCCATCTAGCCTCAATAGGCGATGTGCCGAGTCTAACTACAAACTGGTGTGCCAAGACTGGCTGACATCCGTGAGAGGCCTCACTTTTCTGAGGAGGAGTGGATGGGTGTGGGGGAAGGACTGGGAGGAGGGTGGGAGGGGAACCGCAGTCAGGATGTAAATTTAATTAATTAAAATAAAAAATCAGGAAAGTTGAATGGGAATCATCGAGTTTTTGGCAGTGAGTTCTGGAGAACAGGTCCTGGAGAGACTGTGATAAAAGAGAACATTTTAGAATTTTCTGGGACATTGGTACCAGAACTCATATTTTCCCCACTGAATCAGCTCTTTAGTCTTGAGACTTAATTTCTTTTTTTTAAGATTTATTTTATTTTAATTTATATGTATGCGCGCTTGTTTGTGTGTGACGGTGGAGATGTGTATGCGCACATAGATGCAGTGCCCATAGAGGCCACAAGAGGGCTCTGTCTGATAGGGATGCTAAGATCTGAACTTGGGTCCCGTGAAAGAGAAGTACCCACTCACGCTGAGTCATCGCTCCACCGTCTTGAGCCCAGTTTCTTTCAATAGTGAGGTTGGATCCTGAATCCGTAGTGCCGGTTGAGCCAGGGAAGTGTAGCTGCTTACAGACAGGTAGAAAGACAGACTCTGGGTTGAGTGGAGTTTTGGGTGTGGTACCAACGTGAGCTCAGAGTTGAACTTCTTGCAAACTAGAATTTCTGGTGAATTAAGTACCTGCTCAGGACAGGGAGAGGAGCATTTTACACAGGACACCTGGAGTCCTTCAAGTGTTTTGAAGCCACACGCACTGTCCACGTGCGTCTCTGGCTCTCTCGTGCTGGCCCCATGCTGGCCCTGGCTAGGACTGGGGGTGGAAGGGGCGGGGGACACTGGTCCAGTGTCCCCCGCCCCGTGAGGGGTGTGATA